CGTCGAGTACAGGGTGTTTTATAAAAAAAACTACCTGTACTGTTTGAGACCAATATCGTAGACATGATATTCTATTTTTTTAAATGAAACATTTTTGCAAGTTCTTCAAAAATTTGGAAATGTACTCCAAAGTAAAATCGAATAGTTGCCGTGTCGTATAACCGGAATAACCCAGTATATATAGGGTGGTTTAAAATGATCATCCCTTACAGTGTTTGCGGGATACAGCATTTTCAAAGGGCAGGCCATCGGCATCTGAACCTGTTCCAAGCCACCTACTATGTGGTGGTAACCTTCTCCACAGTAGGCTACGGGGATTTTGTTCCCGACATCTGGCCTTCTCAGCTTTACATGGTCATCATGATTTGTGTGGCTCTTATAGTGTTGCCCACGCAGGTAAATTGCCACTGTTTGAACATGAACATTCAGGTAAACTTCGAACTTGCGGTGGTTGCTTCCAGTTTGAGCAGTTGGCCTTTACGTGGATGGAAAGGCAAAAACTGGGCGGTTCCTATTCGTCGCATCGAGCTCAGTCGGAGAAACACGTGGTGGTTTGCAGCACGAACCTGCATGCGGACACCATAATGGATTTCCTGAATGAATTCTATGCACATCCACTGTTGCAGGACTACTACGTAGTCCTGCTGTCGCCCATGGAGCTGGACACGACCATGCGGATGATCCTGCAGGTGCCGATTTGGGCGCAAAGAGTGATCTACATCCAGGGCTCCTGCTTGAAGGACGGCGACCTGGTGAGGGCCCGCATGAACGAGGCTGAAGCATGCTTCATTCTGGCGGCGCGCAATTATGCTGATAAAACTGCAGCGGCAAGTTCAGCCCATGCTAATTCGAACGTCCAAGTAAACCCCAAGCCGTGATTTTCAGGATGAGCACACGATATTGAGGAGCTGGGCGGTGAAGGACTTTGCGCCGAATGTGGCTCAATACGTGCAGATTTTCCGGCCGGAAAATAAGCTGCATGTGAAATTTGCGGAATTCGTCGTGTGCGAAGATGAGTTCAAGTACGCCCTTTTGGCCAACAATTGCACTTGCCCGGGCGCGTCCACTTTAGTCACACTGTTGTTGCACACCTCAAGGGGCCAGTGAGTTTTGTCGCAATTTTTTCACTTCCAAAGCCAATTGAAATGTTCGCGTTCCAGAGAGGGCCAGCAGTCGCAGGAGGAATGGCACCGACTTTACGGCAAATGTTCAGGCAACGAAATCTACCACATCATTCTAGGGGACAGCAGATTCTTTGGCGAATATGAAGGCAAAAGCTTCACCTATGCCAGCTTCCATTCACACCGCAAGTAAGTCCAATTTGCACCTATGGAGCTAATAATAGTCTTTTCCGAACTGGCTCCCTTCCATTCATTCAAGTTAATTGTTTACTTTAGTTATATGTGTTTCTTCATATAAGAGCACTTCTTTTTCCGTATTTCCTTTCTTCACTTGTATCGACAATTTTTTTAAATTGCCAAAGTTGTTTCTTATTCAGGATTTAACGAAGTGAACACTTTTGTATACATTTTCTAGGACGTCTGTTTTATTAGTGGAAAAATTTAGATTTTCAGTCGTCATCAGCTAATTTTCAAGAATTTTTCAAGTTCTCTTCGCTTTTCGCGAATTTTTCCGTGGGTCAATTGTTCATAAATTTGCAAAGCTAGCGAATCGCTTTTATGTCACATTTGCAGGACAGAGTCTGCTTTTTAACTGGGAAACGTTTMGATTCTGAGTCATCCTCAGACATTTTTCTAAATTGTGTTTCAATTTTGCGTATGTTTATGTTAACCGSAGTTTAAGWGTTTTTTTCCCGAAACCGATTCAGCCAAGGMKTAAATGGCGCCTCTACTTCYGTCGRCCYGTWTARTAAGTGGCAAAAGCTTCGATTTCAGTCATYATCGGRCAATTTTCAAAAATTTTTCAAAKTTMTTTTTGCTTTTCGCGAAYTTTTCCGTGGGTCAATTGCTCAKAAATTTGCAAAGCKAGCGAATCGCTTYTATGTCACATTTGTATTTTATGTCATATTTGCAGGACAGAGYCTGCTTTTTAACTRGGAAACGTTTCGATTTTGAGTCATCCTCAGACATTTTTCTAAATTTTGTTTCAATTTTGCGTATGTTTATGTTAACCGGAGTTTAAGAGTTTTTTTCCCGAAACCGATTCAGTCAAGRAGTGACTGGCGCCYCTACTTCTGTCGGCCCGTTTAGTAAGTGGCAAAAGCTTCGATTTCAGTCATCATCAGGCAATTTTCAAAAAAAAGTTTTTTTTGCTTTCGCAAATTTCTTCGTGGGTCAATTGCTCATAAGTTTGCAAAGCTAGCGAATCGCTTTTATGTCACATTTGCAGGACAGAGTCTGCTTTTTAACTGGAAAGCGTTTCGATTTTGAGTCATCCTCAACCATTTTTCTTAATTTTGTTTCAATTTTGCGTATGTTTATGTTAACCGCAGTTTAACTATTAAGTCAAGGAGTGACTGGCTTATCTACTTCCGTCGGCCTGTTTAGTAAGTCTCGAAAGCTCTGATTYCAGTCATCATCAGGCAATTTTCAAGAATTTTTCAAAGTTCTCTTTGGTTTTCGCGCATTTTTCCGTGGGTCGTCAATTGCTCAGGAACTTGCAAAGCTAGCGGTCGCTTTTATGTCATGTTTGCAGGACAGAGCCTGTTTTTTAACTGGGAACCGTTTCGATTTTGAGTCATCCTAAGACATTTTTCTAAATTTTGTTTCAATTTTGCGTATGTTTACGTTGACCGGTGTTTAACAGTTAATCTTTTCAGAAATCAGTTAACTTAAAAAGTTCCTTTTTGTTTGGGCATAGCCCGTTAAATAAGTGGCAAAAGTTTCGATTTTCAGTCATCATCAGTCTGCTTTCAAGGTTTTTTGAAATGTTGTGCTTTTTTTATCAGCGCAAAGTTTGGCTTTGATTTTCTTGAAAATCTGTGAAGTTGAAGAATGATTTTTGGGTGCATTTGACAGGATAAAGTGCGTTCTATAATGCCAACTATGCACTTTTCCCTGATTTATTGGCCAGTAAATTGGGCCAACTATTAAGGGTCGCCAGATACGAGCGCAAAGCGAGAAATCGAGCTGCTATTGAGCTTGTTGAAAATTATTGCAGATTGCGAAAATTTTCGGGAAGTTTTTGGAATTATTTGTTGTGACTGCGCAAAGAAAATAGTCGCTTTTTTTGAAGGCATGGGCAAATAATTTATTTTGAGAACAATGCTCAAGTGTACCTACAGCCGATGACTGCCAAGAACATGGCCTTCAATAAGTGGCCCACTTTATTGGCCAATAAATCGGGGGAAAGTGTGTAACGTTATGTAAGGTTTCGATTTGACCCATGCTGGGCAATTTTATAGAAACCTTTGATGTTTAAAGTTGCTCTTGCAGGCCTAAATTTGCCACTTATTTTGCCACAAACTAGCAATTGTCCATCCATTCACAGGTTTTCTGGTTGGTTGTAGGTATGGTGTGGCTTTGATTGGAGTTCGGCCGGCTGAACTACCCGAGTTCTACGAAGACACGATTCTGCTCAACCCAGGGCCGCGTCACATAATGAAGAAGAGCGACACCTGCTACTACATGAGCATCACCAAGGAGGAGAACTCCGCCTTCAGCGTGTCAAATACGAATGCAAACAGCCACGCGGTCACTGAACCGACCACCGGCTCGGCCACCTCCAAAGACGAAGGAAAATCGCTGGGAATTCATTTTAAAGATGGTACCTCACCTCCTCAACTTATACTGCAAGTGCCTACATGTGTCAGTGAGTGTCGGTATCACAGCATGCTTTGCCCTCAAAGTTTTTCCGTTTGTTTAATTGACCCCAAGAAAGGGTAATTGTCTAGGTGATCAGGCCCTCACGTGCACTGTTAACAGTACTCTCGCCAAGAAATTCGTTTTATCAGCAACTTTTCTTGGTAGTGTTTTTGTAACTGACTACCTATTCTTTTGTTGTCTATAAGTTATAGTAAACCGCAAACACACCGGCCTGATCATCTAGATAATGACGCAAGAAAAGCGCCAACTTCCATGTTCCTTGCTAGTTTTCGCTTAACTTTGTGGCTTTCATGCACGCTTTTGCAATGGAAAGTCCACTTTGTGCAAAAATGTTATTGACATCGACAATTTACTGAGCGTGTCGCCTACCAATTTGGATTATTGTTTCACGTTACCGTCATCATTATTCTAATGGCCTCAATGGGAAATAATCTATTTGCCTCCCATACTGTATAATGCGTTATTATTGTCATACGCTTGTCAGGGCTTAATTAATGGCGCGTCCCTGCAGGAATGCTGGAAATTTCCAAACCAATTAAATTTAGCTTAATCAAGCCAATGAGGGAAATTTTCATTAGAGCGGGTTATTGTTTTGAGGCAACGGCTGCCATTTCATCCTCATCGAGTATGTGAATGCTTTTGCTCTCTGTCCGAACGCAAAAGTTTCGCAGGTATTTCAGACGATTTTCACGCATTTTCAGCAAACGCCGCAATGAGCGATTCGAAGCAATGCTTAAAAGAGTCCAGCGGCTCGATTTCCGTGGATATTTCAGTGACAGGAAATCATCTGGAAATCCCCCGGGACAATACAAATTTACTCTGTCCAGAAGCAATAAATCAAAGGCGGAACTCCAGGCGGCCCAGCATTCTGCCGGTGAGAGGCAAAAACTCCCAACCGTGTCTACGCGATTTATATACTTGCCTGTGCCACTTTATCGTCATGGATTACTATTAGTTTCCCCGTTATCTAACGAGGATTGAAGCTCATCTGTCTCTGTCTTCCCCAACACGTTTGCTATCTGTGATTAGTCGCATGTATCGGAAGATGAGTCCATGACGATAAAACTGCAGGCAAGGAGTTGGGATTTTGATGATTTTTCTTTTTGAAGGTTCCGGATATGTTCACTGGGAGCACATTGAACATCTGCCATCAGGACGTGGAGCCTGATGAAGGTGACGAAAGTGAGGACGAACTGGAGGACGACGTCCCCTGGAGGTCGCCTAGCGAAAAAATCGCGTAAGTAATTATCTATTAGTGTTGTTTATCTACTGCCAACCATTTACTTGGAGGTGTCTTTTTGGCGCCTTCAAGCCAAAAAACGCATGTTGATTATATTTATTTTTCGTTAGCACGTTAAAGCCAACGACAATGTTTATGAAAAAATGAGTTTACTCCTCCAACTTTGTCTCTGTGTCATTTTACTTTTCCATGTTTGTCACCGCACCATTTCTCATCGCCTGCTTTGTTCCCTGATTTTCTTATAGTTTGGCACTGTCTAGCACCCGATAAACGGTAACGGGAATTCAAGCAGTCAAAAATGTTGTGATTTTGTCCTGAATTCTCGACACGTTTCCTCTCTAGACAAATATTTCTCTTTATCGTCACTCTGTCCGACCCTTGCACTATTCCTAGGTCTAGTCCTTCTGACGATTCTTTGGACCTCGACAGACCTGCATGGCATGATGAATGTGTTAGGTAAGTCCCCTTTTCTTTTCAATTGCCGTTCTTCCACCTCGTCTGAACTAGTCGGCATGTTTTTTTGTATATAGGCGAGACCAACCACCAATTTGCCTTAATAGTTTACAGAAAAACGGCCCTTCTTTGCACACAATTCGCCGACTAAAATCAAATTTGCTTTCCATTGGTGCAGGTAAACTTGCCCCGAGCAGCATCTTGTTGTTGCCCTGGAAACTTTGACTGTATAGCGTGTTCCGTAAGAACACAGAAGGGTACTGCGATATTTTCTGGATCGAAATGAGACGGTCGCGACTAACTTTTGTAAGAAAAATGCTAATGATGGTTAAAGTTCTTCAATAAAAATAAGTTTTTTGAAAAATTGAAAGAATGAATAGATTATTTTTAATGAAACTTGCTCTGAACTTTTTTCTCTGCAGAACTGTGTGATTTTAGTGAAGCAAAGGAGTTCATCCGCTTGCGGCAAGTGAAGAATTTTTTAGTGTCTTGTAGTTTTTGCACAAAAAATATTTCTATTCTGTTACTAACTGGATCAAGCTCTGTTTCAGACATTTTACATTAACAAAACTTCAATCATTTTTTTCCTAATATCGGGCAGTGTTCAGATGGATTTTCATGAAAGCTTCTGTGGATTTGTTCCTACGGCAAGGCCCAATTTTTTGCTAAAAACTCGGTTCTTTTCGTGTGGTTTCTTATGAACGCGATTTGGACAAAAACGGTTCCAAAATCCAATCATTTGTTGCGCAAAAATTAAGAATACTACAAGATTTTGCAAAGGGCCCAAAAATGTTCAAAAAAGATTAGTGCTTCTACTCAAAAAAAATCAATTGATTCCAGCTCCGAAAAACAAATCTCTGGCAATTTGTACCAAGCACTCAAGAATTCATAACTTGCCCAAAGCAGACAAACGTCTTAAATAGAAACAAAACTTGCAGATCTTTGACATCAATAGTGAACAAGCCAGATTTGCAGCAAGAAACTTTTTCTTACTAAAACACAGGTCAGATCGTCTTCTTTTCGGACAAAGAATGTGGCAATGCCCTTTTGACCATGTGCTTACCGGACACTCAGTATAAGCAAAAAAATGTCCACAGACTGTCTGCACCAGGCTCAGTTTTCCCGATTAGTAGTTGCCAAGAGTTAAGTTTGACTATTTTTTCTGCAGCATTGTCAAAGGGTTTCCCCCAGTGTCGCCCTACATTGGAGTGAGCCCGACTCTGTGCTATTTGTTAAAAGAGAAAAAGCCCCTCTGCTGCCTGCAGCTCGCTCAAGTTTGCGAACACTGCAATTACCGGTAAGAATTTGCTCATTAGCGGTGAAATTTTTCGAGGAAACGGAAAATGCTGCTGGATTAAAACCGATTTTTGGAAGGTGAGGTGTTTTGCTTAAATGTTGCAGCAACGCCCGAGAATATCAATGGCAAAACAAGACGATCATCTTGGCGGCCGATTTTGCCTCTAACGGCATCTACAACTTTATAATACCGTTAAGGGCGCATTTTCGCCCGAAAACCTCCCTGAACCCGATAATTCTCCTGTTGGAGCGCCGCCCCGACATCGCGTTCCTGGACTCTATATCTTACTTTCCGCTGATTTATTGGATGTTGGGATCAATCGATTGGTAATCTTGATTTTGCCACCCTCGAAATAACCGTCTTAACGTCGTGATCGATTTGCAGTTTGGACGATCTACTGCGAGCAGGAATTTCGCTGGCGGAAAACGTCGTTGTGGTGAATAAGGAGCTGTCGAACTCGGCGGAAGAAGACTCTTTGTCCGATTGCAACACCATTGTGGCCGTTCAAACGATGTTCAAGTAACTAGTTGAGGACTTTTCCTGGACTTGGGTGTATCTAGTTTGGTTTTCCAGGTTTTTCCCCAGCATCAAAAGCATCACTGAACTGTCCCAGTCGAGCAACATGAGGTTTATGCAGTTTAGGGCGCACGACAAGTACGCTCTACATCTATCCAAAATGGAGAAAGTAAGCTAGTTGTTCTGGTTAAACGTGCACTTTATCGACGTGGATTTACTATTTGTTATGCTTAGGCGGGTGGAACGAGGACGCCAACAGGGCGACCCGCTCTGTCTGCATCAAGCATTGCATTTGATGCGACCTAGTCGGTCCACGGCGATAAAGGGGCAGGCAGGAACTTGCCTCTAGCCAGGATTGTTTGTAAATAATTGCAGAGGGAAAAGGAGCGAGGCTCGCACATCAGCTACATGTTCCGACTGCCCTTCGCTGCTGGCAGCGTCTTTAGCGCCAGCATGCTAGACACATTGCTTTACCAGGCGTTCGTCAAAGACTATGTGATTACGTTTGTTCGGCTGCTTCTGGGCATCGATCAGGCCCCAGGCTCCGGGTTTTTAACATCAGTAAGTCTTTCCCGCTCCGAATAAGCCCCCGTCTAAACTCCTTTTCAGATGCGGATAGGCAAAGACGATATGTGGATAAGAACCTACGGCCGTTTATACCAAAAGCTGTGCTCCACGACATGTGAAATTCCCATCGGGATCTACAGGACGCAAGACACTTCTCTGACTGATACATCACATGTGAGTATGCCTTCGTCAACTTGGTCGAGCTGCGTACGTGTGCCATCGGTGAGTAACTTATTCGAGAGTAATTTATTTGTTCTGTGTGTGGAAACGCCGTTTAAAATCAATTGAAGCGTTGCTCGAACTCAAAATTCGCGAAGTTCTGAGGAGACACTACACCTGACACTTTTTATTCAGTGTGCATTAAAGCTGTAACATTAAAGCTGTGCATTAAAACTGTTAAAACAATTTTCCAGTTCTTCACATAATTTGGCTTATGTGATACCGCAATTCTATCTCTTTTGCTTCGATTTTCAGTGTTCATTGATAATGACTGTTACACCGATTGCACACGTATGGTTACAATTTACTACACTTTTATATTGTTAAATCCATCGGGATAATCATCTAGTACTGATGCGAAATTCGATGGCATGTTAATGGTAAAACCGGCACTCGTGCAATTAGTCCAATCCCAATCGCTCCAGCGCCTCGATTAACACGGGCGAAAACGGGTCAAGACTGTTTGCACCAGTGATTCGAAACGTTCATTGAAGTACTTTTACCAAGCGGACAACTTTATGATTTTTATAGAGCATTCACTCATCTTGGCACCTTTCACTTAACCAGCCAAACACCACATACAAGCATGCTTTAATTGAACTTTCAATCAGTACACTCCACATAATTGAGCACACTCAGGTAAGGTGATCAGCTTTGTCAAGTTCTAGTAGGGCAAAAGCATGAATTTAGCCGTAGGGATTGTCACCAGCTTCATCTTCAGACACATGATGGTTTTACATAGTTAGAGCAGCGATAATGTAAATTGGTTGATTGAGTCAAATGAAATGAAACGAAACAAATCTAGTCTAGTCTATAATCTAGAGGCCTGTTGTAGTGCACGTAATAGTTGCCCATTTATGATACTAGCTCGACGAGGACTTGGGCCCGGATCGAGTGGGGGTAACCTATCGACCCAAAGAAGGAACCAACTGTCTTGGATGCGCCAACAGGCGCAGCTCAATGGTAAGTGTAGTGGCTCAATTTAGGCTTTCAACACAAAAAAAATCCAGATTGCTTTCTTCAAAAGTTGTCTTCTGAAGGAATCTGAAGGGGTCGTTTTGAGTAAATTCACGGGTTTCCTTTCACTGTATATACAGCTTTTGCTGCGTGGAAAACTTTGGCTTCTCTGAAACTGAGTTAGGAACTGAACAAGTCCCAATTAGCGCATGTTTTTCGCAATATTTTCTGGATGAATTAGGAAGCATTTTGCCCATCCACTATACAACGCCATGTGAAAAGAAACTTGCCACCTGAAGCAACATCGGAGCTCGTAAACAACCGACCGAATTATCACTGTTTTAGTATTCAATAAACATGCAGGACGAGGCAAAAGACAACCACAACCAGCAAATTGAGCGCGCGGAAATCGCCAATCTGGTCCGGTCGCGGATGGAGAGCTTGAATCTGCCCACAATCGATTACAATGATGTCAGCGAAAAGCGCAGCAGTCTCTCATATGTGATCATCAATCCGAGCTGCGATCTGAAGCTGGAGGAGGGCGATATCATGTGAGTGGATCAAGCGGTGTTTTGGAGGCGGGTTGAGTGCGTTTTTTTGCAGATATCTAGTGCGGCCCAGTCCGTTTTCCGCACAGAAAACCTTCGAAAGACACAACAGTCGTCGCAAGTCCAACATCAGCTTCTGTTCGCAAAATCTGCTGCAGCAGATGGGGAGCAGCACGCAGCCGGGCGGAAGCCGGCGGGGCTCGGGATTGGGGCTGAGCGGCTACCAAGCGCCCCGACCTCCGCCATTGGTCACCACCAAATCAAACTCCTTGTCTTTACCGGACAGCCCCACGGTCTCCACCTACCAAAGAGGGCGCTCGAATTCGCTTCGAATCATCGACGACATTCTTTTGCGAAGGTAACCGGAGAGGATTATTTTTATATTTTCATCTTTCTGTCAGCTCTAGTGGTCATTACCGGATAGAGGCTTAAAAGACTCACATTTTTATACTGAACATTATTTTAGGAATGTTCGTAGGTTTCTCGCAAAATCAAAAAATTCGAAATCAATGCGGGTGTTGAAAACCGCTCACAGACTTTGGCTCATATTTAGCGAACCAGTTGAGCTGCAAAGCTCTCGTTGTCAGTACCGAATAGAGGCTTAAAGTACGCACGTTTTTGTATGAAACAATATTTTTCGAATGATTCTGGTTTTCACGCAAAATGAAAAAATTGGAAAAAAATGCGCGTGCTGAAAACCGCTTTTAGTCCTTCGTTCATATTTAACGAAGCGGTTGAGCTGCAATACTTTAGTTGTCGTTACCGAATAGAGGCTGAAAGTAGGCACTTTTTTGTATCAGGCATTATTTTCTGAACAAATCTGGTTTTCCCGCCAAATAAAAAAAATTGAAAAAAACGCCGATGTTGAAAACCGCTCACAGACTTTGGCTCATATTTAGAGAACCAGTTGAGCTGTAAAGCTCTCGTTGTCAGTAGCGAATAGAGGCTTAAAGTACGCACGTTTTTGTATGAAACTTTATTTTTCGAATGCTTCTGGTTTTCACGCAAAATGAAAAAATTGGAAAAAAATTCGCGTGCTGAAAACCGCTTTTAGCCCTTCATTCATATATAACGAAGCGGTTGAGCTGCAATACTTTAGTTGCCGTTACCGAATAGAGGCTGAAAGTAGGCACATTTTGTATCAGGCATTATTTTCTGAACAAATCTGGTTTTCACGCCAAATTAAAAAAATTAAAAAAAAAATGCCGATTTTGAAAACCGCTCACAGACTTTGGCTCATATTTAGAGAACCAGTTGAGCTGCAAAGCTCTCGTTGTCAGTACCGAATAGAGGCTTAAAGTACGCACGTTTTTGTATGAAACGTTATTTTTCGAATGCTTCTGGTATTCACGCAGAATGAAAAAATTGGGAAAAAATGCGCGTGCTGAAAACCGCTTTTAGTCCTTCGTTCATATTTAACGAAGCGGTTGAGCTGCAATACTTTAGGTGTCGTTACCGAATAGAGGCTGAAAGTAGGCACTTTTTTGTATCAAACATTATTTTCTGAACAAATGTGGTTTTTACGTCAAATAAAAAAAATTGAAAAAAAAACGCCGATGTTGAAAACCGCTCACAGATTTTGGCTCATATTTAGCGAATCAGTTGAGCTGCAAAGCTCTAGTTGTCAGTAGCGAATAGAGGCTTAAAGTACGCACGTTTTTGTATGAAACATTATTTTTAGAATGCTTCTGGTTTTCACGCAAAATGAAAAAATTGGAAAAAAATGCGCGTGCTGAAAACCGCTTTTAGTCCTTCGTTCATATTTAACGAAGCGGTTGAGCTGCAATACTTTAG